GACGACACTCGTCGTCGCTAACACTCGCCACAAAACCAGATCAAAAACACAAAAAAAATATATAAAAATCATTACTTTAACACGGCGCACGAACTTTTTACACAACGTAATAGTTTCATAGCAACCACTTTCATTAAACGTAGAGCAATAAATTCAAGATTTTTCAATAATTCGACCAGACATTGTTCTTGATGATTTGTTAGTACAGTTGGATGACCAACTCCAAATCTCATTTGTGAATTGCAATTGTGGTTACGTACTGTACTTCCAGGAACACCGTATTTCAATGAAACTTCAGACGAAGTAGCACCAGTTTTATATTCTTCAAGAGCGTTGATCAAATTTTCTTTGGAATAATCGATTTTTTCATATTTCAATACAAAAATAAATATAACACTAGTAAATCAATAGACAACTGTAAAATAATATTTTATTTTTAAGAAAACGAATAATTCTAAAATAACATAACATGATTGTATATAGTTGTTATTACTTGAATTTGCTGTTATTGAGTTTGATCCAAATAAAATATAGAGTAATATATCATTGGCGTGATGTTTTCATGAATCATAATTTACATCTTCTTTTGGTTTAAAATTTGCAAGTGACAATTTCAATTGTTTCTGAAAACTTATGTTTTCTGAATTATTGAAGCTCTGATATGGTTGCGCCGATAGTGATATCACACTCCACTGATCTTCCTCTTCTCTTTCCTATCTCGATATTGCTCTTTCCTATGTATATATCTCTCTCTGTTCTCTCTGCATTGTTTTATTCTATGTTCATCTATATCTCTCCTTCTCTCTCGTATATATACGCGTGGTATATGTGACGTAGCCAAATAAACATCATTACCAAGGGTGGCGGCAAGCTACTCACCCAGTTTGTCGTTACAATGGTCACCTTCAATACGTTGTTCATGTGATCAATAGATGTCGATGAAATATTGAGAAAACTTTTTGATGATTTCAATTAAATCTCTGCAATACTTTTCAAGAAGTTTTAAAAATATTCTATCAAATCATGAGTAATATTGCAATTTGAATCTACAGAAAACAAGCCATATTGAAAATATTATGTTGAAACTTCAAAAAAAGAGGTTGATAATAGTAGTCACATGAAGATCAATCAAACTGAGATGAATCGCTGGATTATAATAGATTTATAATAAAGGAAAATTTATTGTGCTGGAAGTACAAAAAGAAATTCATTTTAATTATAGAAAATGTACGTTTACTAATAATATTTTATTTGATGTGCATTTGAAGCTATCTGCTCTTATTAAGAACATCTTTTTGCTGGATGTCTTTATTAGGAACAGTCTACTTAATTCCAACTACCAAGGCATTTTTTAAATTTAATATCTCGTTTATTATGAGTTAGAAAAATCTGAACTTCTGGATTTTAATGTCTTACTTCATGATGAACATTTTTCTTGTCATAGAAGTGATAAAAAATTTTGAAGTTTTGATGATGAAATTAGCTGATTAGTAATTTTTGAATCTTTTTGCTTATTCTTCGCTGGTTGTTCGTATTAGGAACAGTTTTTGGCTCATTGTTCGTATAAGACACGCTGCTCCTAATAAGGACAAATTCGATCATCTGTAAACTACCACTGATTGCTTAACTATTTTTTGAGATAATTTAACAAATTTTATATTATTGGATCCAGCAAACTTTTCTCTACTCAAAAATATTAAAAAATCTGTATGTT